CTGTTTGTTCTCCTAGCAGTCCATGGTATATTCAACACTCTTCTCCAGCATCACAGCTCAAAAGCATCAATTCTCTTTTTATCGTCCCTATTCACCATCCAACTCTCTGATGCATAGCACTTAATTGCGAAGACTATAGCCTGGATCAGGTGCACCTTAGTCTCCAGCCTGATGTCATTGCTCTTCAGTACTCTTGAAAGGTCCCTCACAGCTGATTTCCCAATGTAATTCATCTCTTGATTTCCCGGCTGCTGGTACCAAGAGGGTTGACTGTGGAGCCATGCAAACTAAAACTGTCAACTATCTCAATCTCTTCACCATCCATACTGATCAGCATGTTTTTGTGCAGTTGATAAAAAATGAATAGACATATTTCTGGTACTGTTGGCAATGATGTTCCTAGTGTCACGGCCTCTTCAACTTATGTTTCTGATAGTTCTCTGTCATTTAGATTTCTCTTTTTCCTTATCCTGTCTTATTGATCTTGGCAGGGTTTCTAATAAAATATTGAATAGGTATTGGGATAGTAGGCAACATTGCCTTGTCCCTTTTCTCAGGAGGAATATCTTTAATCTTTCTCTATTGACAATAATGTTAAGTGTTGATGTAGAGTGTATGTTCCTAATTTTACTGAGGAAAATCCTCTCTATTCACATTTTGTTGAGTGTGCTTATCAGGGAAGTGTGTTCGATTTTGTCAAAAGCTTTTTCTACATCAATTGAGATGATCATTACCCATAAATGATAAAAGTTCTTATCCTTTTTTATTGATGTGATGGATTACATTTATTGTTTTTCTTACTCTGTATGAAAATTGCATGCTTGCTATGAATCCCACTTGGTTATGATGTACTAATCTTTTGATATGTTGTTGGATTCTATTGGCTGGGATATTAAGGGGGTTTTTGTGTGACTATGTTTATAGGAGCAACTGGTCTGAAGTTTTCTATTTTAGCGGTGGGGAATAAAATTGACAAACGACCAGCAAAACTAACAAAAGAAAAGAAGGAAAGGACACAAATAATTCTAATATGGGATGAAATAGGCAATGTCACAATGGAACCAACTAAAATAAAATTGTTAGCAATGGAATGTTACGAAAAACCGTACTCAAACAAATATGAAAACCTAGAAGAAATGGTAATGGGTACCCATAGTGGACAGTGTTGGCTGGAGCTTCCCTACTAAAACAAGCCTGGAAGCAGGAGCAGCATCCACTTCCGAAATGGCTTGCCTCCGGAAACACTATGTACGAACAGTGCTCAGGCCTTTTGTTATAGGGTCGCTATGAGTTGTCTACAGCACTC